TAGAGCCAAAGGTGTTTGGAAGTGCTTGTTATGTTCATGATGTGCGACTCCATGTTACTATACTAGATGCAAATGCTTTGAAGTGTGTCTTTTTGGGATATTCTCGCTTATAGAAGGAATACCGGTGCTACTCTCCAACCCTTAACAGATACATGGTGTCGATAAATATGGTGTTCTCTGAGAACATTTCCTTTGTTCCTTCTCCTGACAGTTCTCCCACTCAAGGACAGGAAAAAAGAAGAATGGATCATTTTTAAGACCACTTAACCGAGCTCAGAACACCATAAGAAAGTTTGTCGTAGTGCTGAGCAGTCAACTGAGAATGTGTCTTCTGATGTTCATACTACTCCAACAAAGCCACCAATAATTCAAGTTTATTCTAGGTGAAAAGCATCCAATGATACATGTCCTGCACCAACTCTTTCGTCATCAGAGCCTCCTCCAGTCAATACCTCTCCAGTAGAAATTCGGACTTTCTTATCATATTATATTATAAGTGAAAAGCCTTCAAGTCAAAAGTTGAATTACCAAAATGTCCTTATAATGTCATTATATTGATGAACAAAAATGTACACATTGATTATAAATAAGTACTATTATTTTCTATTAATAAATATTCTTATATATTTATGGAAAAAATATAAATACACACTCTTAAAAGCTAGGTTTTTTATTTAGTTAGTTTCTCTTTTTTTTTCGTTCTTCTTTCTATTGTTTTGCTTTATATCTTATTTGTATAAATGCCCAAAAAGACCTACAACTTAAGAACTGCATCAGTTAAAAATATTATGTTGAGTTTATAATTTTTGTTACTTTTTCCATATTTCATCATTATTCATGTTTTCTTCTTATTACAATTGTAAAACCTATTTGATTGCAGAACAAGATTCACAAGAGCTTTCGCAATAATCTGGTAGGAAGAATAGAATAATGTTACAACATCAAATACTAAATTGTTATGATAATTCACATATATTTGAAAAAGTATAGTTTCTCCGCCTCAATTAGTCTGATATTTTTCATTTCTTGAAATTTAAATCATATGAACTTTAATGAATATGTTAAAATTACAACTTATAATACTTCTTGTATAATTTTTTGAATATTTATTTTTTTATTTTATAATATTGAGTTAAATTGATCCAATTTAGCTTCGTAAAATTAATCTAATTGACTCTTGATTAACCAAGACTCTCACAGATTTTGGGATGTAAGGCAGTAAATCTCTCCCTTCAAACTCAAGGTGTTAATACATCATGTATAAAAACAATTCATACAAAAGATATAAATGTTTGATATATATGTAGCTAAATCTTATTATGTAAGCGTTTTAGTTATTTTCCATTTATATATATATATATACTAGATGAGCGTTGCCCGTGCTAAGCACGGGCCCAACGTTTAATATTTTAATATTTTATATATTTATTATCATTTTATTTTACGATACATGTTCACAAAATAAATGCACTGTTTATTAAGCAAATTGACAGTATGAAGAAAGTGAACATCAAGAGCAGTTGAATGTTAACAAATTATCAATTAACATTTAGGAGTTGCTGACATACTTTCAGCTGATGATGCTGTAGTTGGAAGCATTATAGGTATTTATAATGGACCTAAATTTAATGAGTTGCATATTAAATAAACAAAATTAATATTTCAATGAGAAAAATTAGTGATTCGAACACATTATAGCTGCCAAATTTGTTCATAATATATTTTCATGTGCATGTCATACTACTGAATGTCAAAGTGAGATACTTACATAGTTTAACATTTTCATATGTGGGAATACTAATTACATACATTTACATACTGTATAGAATGATAAAAACAGATGCATCTTTCATGCTTGGATCTTCTGGATCATCTTTGATAAAAAATTACCTGTTAGCACAGAATCACATCACATAACTTTTACAACACAAAATGAAAAAAAATGTGGCAACATTAAGCTTCAACTAAGCCTCATCTTTGAATTCCTATTTCACGATTGACATAAGACATTTTATATAATAACACCAATATGAACAAAAGTATGTTATTTTTTTTTAAAAGTATGTCATAGATAGATCATTTAGCAAGGTAATGTCAACCAGAATAGCATAAACACTACATTTTGTCGTATTGGAATAAAATAGAGAATTAGTGGAAAAAAATAAGAAAGCCAAATGGAATGTAAAGCATCAATTACAAATGTATGAAATGAGATCTTAATTAAAGATTAATATTATCTTTATAGTAAAAGATTGCAAAAACAGTCAAGAAAACAAAGTGACAATATGACCAAACAAAGTGAACAAAGCTCAATAGCTGTAAAGATAACAACCCTCATACAAG